TTTTTTTTTTATTAATAAATTTTTTTGGGGGCTGGGCACAATGGCTAATGCTTGTAATCCTAGTACTTTGGGAGGCTGAGGTGGGGGGATCATCTGAGGTCAGGAGTTCAAGACCAGCTTGGCCATCATGGTGAAACTCCATCTTTAAAATTAAAAAAAAAAAAAAGAAGGCCAGGCGCGGTGGCTCGAGCCTGTAATCCCAGCACTTTGGGAGGCCGAGGCGGGTGGATCACGAGGTCAAGAGATCGAGACCATCCTGGTCAACACGGTGAAACCCCGTCCCTACTAAAAATACAGAAAATTAGCTGGGCATGGTGGCGCGTGCCTGTAATCCCAGCTACTCAGGAGGCCGAGGCAGGAGAATTGCCTGAACCCAGGAGGCGGAGGTTGCGGTGAGCCGAGATCGCGCCATTGCACTCCAGCCTGGCTAACAAGAGCGAAACTCCGTCTCAAAAAAAAAAAAAAAAGAAAACCAAAAATATTAGTCGGGCGTGGTGGTGTCGGATGCCTGTAATCCCAGCTACTCAGGAGGCTATGGCAGGAGAATCGCTTGATCCTGAGAGGCGGAGGTTGCAGTAAGTTGAGACTGCACCACTGCGCTCCAGCCTGGGCAACGAGGCGAGACTCCGTCTCAAAAATAAGTAAATAAGAATGTTGGACATTCGCCTCCGGGTCTTCAGGGTTCCTCTCTGCTCACCGAGGCTTCCGTTCCCCCCACCCCGTACCGTGCCCTCCAGACTCATGAACAAGCTACAGCCAGGCTCAGTCCCCAAGATCAACCGCTCCATGCAGAACTGGCACCAGGTGAGGGGCTGGCAGGGTGGAGCAGGAACGGGGCAGGTGGGCCCATCTGACAGGCGGGGAAACTGAGGCCCACTCACCGTCTCTCTCCGGCCTCCTCCCAGCTGGAAAACCTCTCCAACTTCATCAAGGCCATGGTCAGCTACGGCATGAACCCCGTGGACCTGTTCGAGGCCAACGACCTCTTTGAGAGCGGGAACCTGACGCAGGTGCAGATGTCTCTTCTCGCCCTGGCGGGGAAGGTGAGGCCCAGAGAGGGGCAGCCGCCGGCCCAGAGTCACACAGCGAGGTGGACGTAGCTGTTGCATTCTCTGGTTTGCAAATGCTTATTTGTTTGTTTCTCGTTTTGTTATTTTTGTTGGTTTGTTCTTGAGACGAGTCTCACTGTGTCGTCCAGGCTGGGGTGCAGTGGCGGGATCTCGGCTCACCGCAACCTCCGCCTCCCGGGTTCAAGCGATTCTCCTGCCTCAGCCTCCCGAGTGGCTGGGATTACTGGGGTGCGCCACCACACCCGGCTAATTTTGGTATTTTTAGTAGAGAGACAGGGTTTCACCATGTTGGCCAGGATGGTCTCGATCTCCTGCCTCAGCCTCCCAAAGGGCTGGGATTACAAGCACGAGCCGCCGAGCCCGGCCATTTGTTTGTTTTTGAGACAGAGTCTCTCTCTGTTGTCCAGGCTGGAGTGCAGTGGTGCAATCTCGGCTCACCGCAACCTCCGCCTCCCGGGTTCAAGTGATTCTCCCCCTCAGCCTCCCAACTGGCGGGGACTGCAAGCACCTGCCACCATACCTGGCTAATTTTATTTATTTTTAGTAGAGACCGGGTTTCACCATGCTGGCCAGGCTGGTCTTGAACTCCTGTCCTCAGGCGATCCACCCACCTCAGCCTCCCTAAGTGCTGGGATTACAGGCGTGACCCACCATGGCCGACCTTGTTTGCAAATATTTCTGAGTGCCTGCGAGGTGCCGGGCACATCAGATTCCTTGATGACCAGGAAAGACTCGGTCTACCCCTTTATGGAGTTCAGTCTGATGGGGGAGGCAAGCGGACGTAAACACAGCATTTTGCCTTGCGTTACATGTAACCTGTGGCCGGGCGCAGTGGCTCATGCCTGTAATCCCAGCACTTTGGGAGGCCAAGGTGGGAGGATCATTTGACACCAGGAGTTCGAGACTGACCTGGACAACATGGTAAAACCCCATCTCTACTAAAAATGCAAAAATTAGCAGCTGGGCGCAGTGGCTCACACCTGTAATCCCAGCACTTTGGGAAGCCGAGATGGGCAGATCACCTGAGGCCAAGAGATCGAGACCATCCTGGCCAACATGGTGAAACCCCATCTCTACTAAAAACACAAAAATTAGCTGGGTGTGGTACCAGGCGCCTATAGTCCCAGCTACTGAGGAGGCTGAGGCAGGAGAATTGCTTGCACCCGGGAGGTGGAGGCTGCCGTGAGCTGAGATCGCACCACGGCACTTCAGCCTGGATGACAGAGCCAGACTACACCTCAAAAAAAAAGGCCGGGCGCGGTGGCTCACACCTATAATCCCATCAAGCCAAGACCGGGAGTGTGAGTTGGAACAGTGTCTTGTGTAGAAAGAACAGCAAGGTCTTGAAATTGGAAGTGGCTTGGGGTATTAGAGGAAGGGTGTTGGAAATAGATGCTCCGTGCCGCAAAGAAATATCAGCCCCGAGACGAAGGATCTTTCAGCAACGCAGTTTTTACTTCCTGGGCTGCAGGAAGGGGACCCTCAGTAGCCATCTTGCCATGAGAGCACAATGAACAAAGGAGACGCAGACAAATGTCTCCCTCACGCATGTGGGGTCGCCCTTACTGCTGTGTGTGATCGCCGTTGGCTGGAGCCAGACCTCACCGTCTAAACTAAAACCCAATTGGCTAACAACTTAAAACTTTTCTAAACAGGTAAGAGCCATGGAGAGCTGGGACATGCCTGTGAGCACGTCCAGCACAGGTATCCTGGTTAAGGCACAAGGACGTAGAATGTACTACGTGCCCGTAAGCGTGGCGTGTCTAGCAGCCACGTAGGACAGGACTTAACGAAGTTTTAACGAAGTTGTTAGCACACTTACTCTTTTTTTTTTTTTTTTGAGACGGAGTTTCACTCTTGTTACCCAGGCTGGAGTGCAATGGCGCGATCTCGGCTCATCGCAACCTCCGCCTCCTGGGTGCAGGCAATTCTCCTGCCTCAGCCTCCTGAGTTGCTGGGATTACAGGCACGCACCACCATGCCCAGCTAATGTTTTGTAGTTTTAGTAGAGACGGGGTTTCACCATGTTGACCAGGATGGTCTCGATCTCTTGACCTCGTGATCCACCCGCCTCGGCCTCCCAAAGTGCTTGGGATTACAGGCGTGAGCCACCGCGCCTGGCCCACACTTACTCTTTAACAAGAAAAGGAACTTTAAAAAGGAACTTTCTACTTCCCCCAAAGGGGGAGGTGGTTTTTTCTTGGGAAAACTGCTCCAAATGGTGTTTTCAGAAGCCCCCTGTGGCTGCCTGAAACCCCACGTGGGGAGTGCAGGTCAGGGAAGAGCTGCCTGCAGGCATCGCAGTGGGAGGCAGTGGCAGTGGGCTGGCCAGGGTGCCGGGGGATTGGGTAGGAGGAGGTGGTGGAAGACAGAGGAGGTGAAAACCACATCCCCGCCCCTAGAATTCTTGGCCTGAGCCATGGAAAGCTGGGATGAAACAGGTCCTGTGAGTCAGGCGGCCCCAGTATCTCACGCCTGTAATTCCAGGACTTTCAGAGGCCAAAGCGGGCAGATGACTTGAGGCCAGGAGTTCAAGACCAGCCTGGCCAAGATGGTGAAACCCCATCTCTACTAAAAATACAAAAATTGGCTGGGCATAGTGGTGGACACCTGTAATCCCAGCTACGGGAGGCTGAGGCAGGAGAATCGCTTGAACCCGGGAGATGGAGGTTGCAGTGAGCCGAGATGGCGCCATTGCACTCCAGCCTGAGTGACAGAGCAAGGCTCCATCTCAAAAAAAAAAAAAAAAACAAGTCATTGCACTGAAAAAAAATTTTTTAATTAAAAAAATTTGGCCGGGCGCAGTGGCTCACGCCTGTAATCCTAGCACTTTGGGAGGCCGAGGTGGGTGGATCACCTGAGGTCAGGAGTTCAAGACTAGCCTGGCCAGCATGGTGAAACCCCATCTTATTAAAAAAAAAAAAAAAATGTGGCCGGGCGCGGTGGCTCACGCCTGTAATCCCAGCACTTTGGGAGGCTGAGGCAGGCAGATCATGAGGTCAAGAGATCAAGACCATCCTGGCAAACATGGTGAAACTCTGTCTCTACCAAAAATAGAAAAATTAGCTGGGCGTGGTGGTGCATGCCTGTAGTCCCAGCTACTCGGGAGGCTGAGGCAGGAGAATTGCTTGAACCCAGGAGGCAGAGGTTACCGTGAGCCGAGATGGAGCCACTGCACTCCAGCCTGGGCAACAAGACTGAAACTTCGTCTTCAAAAAAAGACAAAAAAAGAAACAGCTCCTTGATGGGTGTGTGGAGTGTATGGAGCCCCAGACACCCAAGAGATGTCCCTGCAGGGGCTCTGCAGCAGGCGGAAGGGACAGGCTGCGGTCTGGCCTCTGTGCCGCCCCCAGGGCCTGGATCTAGGGACCCTGGCTGCCCTCTCCTGGTATTCCCAGCCCCTTTCCCTCACCCAGGCCAAGACTAAGGGGCTGCAGAGCGGGATGGACATCGGCGTCAAGTACTCGGAGAGGCAGGAGCGGAACTTCGATGATGCCACCATGAAGGCCGGCCAGTGTGTCATCGGACTACAGGTGGGCGACAGCTCCCCCAGCCCCAGGGACCCGCCGCAGGGACCAACCCCCGGGACCAACCCCCTGGACTAGCCCCAGGGACCAGCCCCAGGGACCAACTCCAGGGACCAGCCCCAGGGACCAACTCCAGAGACCAACCTCAGGGACCAGCCCCAGGGACCAACCCCAGGGACCAGCCCCAGGGACCAGCCCCAGGGACCAACCTCAGGGACCAGCCCCAGGGACCAACCCCAGGGACCAGCCCCAGGGACCAGCCCCAGGGACCAACCCCAGGGACCAGCCCCAGGGACCAACCCCAGGGACCAGCCCCAGGGACCAGCCCCAGGGACCAACCCCAGGGACCAACTCCAGGGACCAGCCCCAGGGACCAACCCCTGGGACCAACCCCAGGGACCACAGCCTTAGCTGTGGAACTCTGCGGCCCTTCCAGTTTGGGGAGGGACTGGAAGCCTGGGGGGCACAGCGAGACCTCTTCCACAAACCTCCCTGCAGATGGGCACCAACAAATGTGCCAGCCAGTCGGGCATGACCGCGTATGGCACGAGGAGGCATCTCTACGACCCCAAGAACCACATCCTGCCCCCCATGGACCACTCCACCATCAGCCTCCAGATGGGCACCAACAAGTGTGCCAGCCAGGTGGGGCTTCCTGCATCCCCAGACCCCCCCCCCCCCCCCCGTGGTATCAGCCCCTCCCAAGACCGCCTCTGGCTTCCCTCCCAGCTCTGTCTCTACCTTGCATTTCAGCCTCTGCCACTGTTTCCACCTGGCTGTGGGCCCCTGGGGAAGTCACTACCCCACCCTGCCTTATTGTCCTTAAGGATTGCTCAAAGGCCCACCCAGTTCTAGTTTTTATTTATTTTATTGATCTATTTATTTTGAGACTGGATCTCACTCTGTAGCCCTGGCTGGAGTGCAGTGCTGAGATCTTGGCTCCCTGTCACCTCTGCCTCTGGGCTCAAGCGCTCCTCCCAACGCAGCCTTCCCGGTAGCCGGGATTACAGGTGTGTGCCACCACGCCTGGCTCAGTTTTGTATTTCCAGTAGAGATGGGGTTTCACCATGTTGGCCAGGCTGGTCTCGAACTCCTGACCTGAGGTGATCCGCCCATCTCGGCCTCCCAAAGTGTTGGGATCACAGGCACCCGGGGAAAGTCCCCTCTTCTCTCTGCCGTGACGTGCCCCACCTCTCCCCCCTCTCCAGGTGGGCATGACGGCTCCCGGGACGCGGCGGCACATCTATGACACCAAACTGGGAACCGACAAGTGTGATAACTCCTCCATGTCCCTGCAGATGGGCTACACGCAGGGCGCCAACCAGAGCGGCCAGGTCTTCGGCCTGGGCCGGCAGATATACGACCCCAAGTACTGCCCGCAAGGCACTGTGGCCGACGGGGCTCCCTCCGATGCTGGCGACTGCCCGGGCCCCGGGGAGGCCCCTGAATATCCCCCTTACTGCCAGGAGGAGGCGGGCTACTGAGGCTCCCAGCGCGCTCTCTCCCCACGCCGTCTCCCCGTCTGGGTTTCTGGGTTTTTCTGTGTTTTCATTTTTTTTTTAACCTGTTCAGTGCTGCCAATCAGCTGAGGGTCTGTGAGTGGCTTTCTCCCCCCTGCCTTGGTCCTTCGCAGGACTGAGCCAGCAGGCTGGGGGGCGGAGGGGTCAGGGTCCCTGCTGCCCATCCAGGCTGTGGGCCGGGCTGTGCTGGGGAGAAGAGGCCTGGGCTTGGAGGGAACGGGTCCCTGAAGACTTCCGGTTGCCTCGTGTCTTCTCATTTTGTCACCCGATCAGTTTGTGGTTTCTGTACCCACAAAAGTTTCAGGAAGTAGTAACAAAAGAAAAATACTTCCCCCCCACCACCCCCAACAAGGAATGGGGCGGGGACAGTGGAGAGGGTGCTGGGCAATGAGTCCCCTGGAAAGGGGGCCTGGCCACGATGCTGAGTGTCTCAGGCTCCCAAGTGGCTGGGTTTCCCTCCGACCCTCAGACCTGCCCCAGGGCCTGGTGGGGAAAGTGAGGCCTGCACAAGGAAGCGGAATTCTGAGTTGCTGGGGCCAAGCCTGACCCGGTATCCATGCGACCCCGCCCTCCCCGTAGCCTCAGTGGGTTTTTTTTTAGTGTTGTGTTGCACAGGCTGGAGTGCCGCAGGGCAATCTTCGCTCACTGCACCTCCACCTCCCGAGCTCCACGGATTCCCCGGCCTCAGCCTCCCAAGCAGCTCGGACTGCAGGTGCTCCACCACGCTGGCTAATTTTTGTATTTTTGGTAGAGACAGGGTTTCACCATGGTGGCCAGGCTGGTCTCGAACTCCTGGCCTCAGGTGATCCCCGCCCCCCCGCCTCGGCCTCCCCAAGTGCTAGGATTACAGGCGTGAGCCACCGCGCCCGGCCCTTCAGTAGGTTTTCGGGAGCCCCAGCCCTCCTCCTCCCCTTCTGGGCCTGACCAGCTATACTGCTCCATCTCGGGGAACACACCCCACCAAGTACTGCAAGGAACCCTCACCCGGGGGCCCTGCTCCGTGAGATAATGTGAAACCCAACTGTGGACCAAACGCAATAAAACCTCTGTTTGTAGGAAGAGAAGGTGGCTGAGAGGGCTGGTCGTTGGGGGCGTGTTTTGCTTTGATGCTTCTGCGGGGACAGAGGGGCGGATGGGGAATCAAGGGGAAAAGGTCCACCTCACCCTTGGGAGGAGGGGCAGACGCTGAAAGCCGCAGGTGAGTCCGGGTGGAATGAATGATTTGAGTCCGGGTGGAATGAATGATTTGAGTCCGGGTGGAAAGAGTGATTTGAGTCCGGGTGGAACGAGTGATTTGAGTCCGGGTGGAATGAATGATTTGAGTCCGGGTGGAACGAGTGATTTGAGTCCGGGTGGAATGAGTGATTTGAGTCCAGGTGGAACGAGTGATTTGAGTCCGGGTGGAACGAGTGATTTGAGTCTGGTGGAATGAATGATTTGAGGGGCCGAGGCTGGGCTTCCTGGCCAGTTGGAGAGGAAGCAGTTGCCTCAAAGGCACCCCCGTGCTCTCTGGCTGCACCCTGCCCTACAGCACAAGCCTCGCGGCCTCAGCCTGGATGTCTCCCCGCTGGCAAACTCCTATTTATCATCAAAGCCCCAGCGGCCATGCCACCTCCTTCCTCCGCGGGAGCCCACCCCACGCCTCTCTCTCTCCCCAGCGCCTTCAAAGCTGTGGACCCACACACTCCCATTTCAGCTTCACCTCGATCCTGCGAAATAAACTCTTCTTCCAGAGTGGGAAGCGGATCACCTGAGGTCGGGAGTTCAAGACCAGCCTGACCAACATGGTGAAACCCCATCTTAAAAAAAAAAAAAAATATGTTGGGGGCCTCTCCCCCGTCTGCCATCGCCTTGTCCTACTGCAGAAATCGAGGAGCGTTCGTGGAATGAATGAAAGAATGACGACCTTAGTGGAACCCCACTTTACAGACGGACAAGCGGAGTCCCAGGGTCGGGGCTAGACTGGAGGGAGCCCGGCCAGCCCCCGGGAGAGCGGGGACGGGGGAACTCCTGCAATGCGGAGCTAAGGTACTGCAGCCGGCTATGCAACGTGGGGAGGCAGCCTGGCTCTCCAGAGATGGCGCGGCCTCGTTCCCCGAGGCCAGTCCGCCTGGGACCAGCCAGGCACCCCGCCACCCCACGGTGATGCAGCAAAAGCCGCGCGGTCCCTTTAAGAAACCCGGCTCGGCGAGGCCCTTCTGTGATCCCGCCTCCTCCCTCGGCTCGCGCTGCTCCAGCGGAGCCCGGCCGTGAGTGACGGGCAGGTCGGCCAATAGCAGCGCTCAGATGCGGACGTGGCCCGGCGCGGCTACCTGCGCGCGGAAGCTCGGGGCACTTGGCTCTAGGGGCACTGCTCCCGCAAGACGCTCCTGTTAAAGGGGCCGCGCTCCTACAGGCTGCTGGGTGGGGAGAAGGCGGTGAGAGCTGGGGAGCCTCCGGAACGGTGAGGACTCGGAGAGGGAGGAAGGCCCGAGACTGGAGAATGCGGGGTTGGGGCCGGGAGGGATGCGCTTTCCCTGGGCATTAGGGGGTCCAGCCTCTGGCTCTTCCCTTTATTCCGGTGGGTGCTTGGGGGGGCGCTGAATTAGGGGTCAGGGCTGAATTAGACATCTTAGGGGTCCCAGATGTCCCACGCTCCCACTAATTCTCCAGGGGGCGTGGGACATCTGGGACCCCTGAGGGCCTTTGCCAATCACACACCAGCAGACCCCGCCCCGTTGGAACTCCTCCACGCCCCCTTGCCCCATTTTACAAAGGGAGAAACTGAGGGCCCTCGCCCAGATCCTAAGTCCCGCTTGAAGTAAAGGAAAGAACCCTGGCGTAAGGGTCTGGGTTCGAGGTCCCAGTTCCGGCCTGGTAACCTTTAGCAACTTCCTGCCCCTCTGTCGGCGTCAGATTCTCCATCTGTGTCAGAGGTGGACAAACCCAAGGAAAAGAGGAGGTCAGGAATGGCTGGCTCCAGGAGTCTCTACGCCAGCCCCTTAACCTGAGTCTTTCTCTGGCTCCCGGGTGCTGCTGAGCGTTGGATGCTACAGAAGGTGTGGGCAGAGCTGGGGTCCTGCCTCCAGCTGTGCGGCTCCCTGACTCTCTGGGTGCCAGGTATCTGTCTTGAGCTTCCATTAACACTTCTGTAGAGTGGGGTGGTAGTAAGCACTTCCGCTGAGCGTGTGAAATGTGCTGCACAGGCCAGGCGCGGTGGCTCACGCCTATAATCCCAGCACTTTGGGAGGCCGAGGTGGGTGGATCACCTGAGGTCCGGAGTCCCAGACCAGCCTGGGCAACAGGGTGAAACTCGAAACCCGGTCTCTACTAAAAAAAAAAAAAAAAAAAAAGGCCGGGCGCGGTGGCTCACGCCTGTCATCCTAGCACTTTGGGAGGCAGAGGTGGGTGGATCACCTGAGGTCAGGAGTTCAAGACCAGCCTGGCCATCATGGTGAAACCCCATCCTAAAAAAATAATAATAATAAATCAGCCGGTTGTGGTGGCGCATGCCTGTAATCCCAGCTATTGGGGAGGTTGAGGTAGGAGAATGACTTGAACCCGGGAGGCGGAGGTTGCGGTGAGCCAAGATCGCGCCATTGCACTCCAGCCTGGGCAACTAGAACGAAACTCCGTCTCGAAAGAAAGAAAGAAAGAGAAATGCTCAGCACTGCCAATATTCGTTGCCGTTATCTTTGGAGAACAGTGAGGGTAAAGGAACCTTTTCCTCGGCTGGGGATCAGGACTTGGAAGAGTTTCCAGGTGGGGCTTGGGGTGGAGCCTGATGAGGAAAGCGTTAAGACCCGGCCCCTGGAGGATTAGAGGAAGGTTAAGTCCCCAGCTGTCAGCCCTTGCTCAGAGCGACAGTTCTGGCAGCCAATCAGATGCGAGGACGGCTGCGGGTCGAGCTCCCATTGGTGGACCCCACCCCGGGAGTCCTTTATCAAGCGACTACGGTTTGCCGGGCCCTAATCAGTGCCTCCAGGAACCCTGCGCTGTGGGATCGAGTTCAGAGCGGGACAGGGAGCTGCCCGCAGCCGCACTGCAGGTCTCCAGCCCGAGCGTCGTCCTGACCTCTCTGTCCGGTCCGCTTCCCAGTCTCACCATGGCCTTCTGGACACAGCTGATGCTGCTGCTCTGGAAGAATTTCATGTATCGCCGGAGACAGCCGGTAACGCCCCGGTGTGCGGCCAGGGCCGGGTGGGCAGGCGGCCCCCACTGTCCCCCACCATCTCCCACGTGTTCTCCCCCAGCTCCAGCTCCTGGTGGAATTGCTGTGGCCTCTCTTCCTCTTCTTCATCCTGGTGGCTGTTCGTCACTCCCACCCCCCTCTGGAGCACCATGAATGTGAGCACCCCAGGGACCAGGCACTTTGCATGTGTAGGGAAAGGGGACCCTGTGCACAGGGATCCCCAGTGCATGTCAGGGAGTCTTCACTGGACAGCTAATACATGGCATGGGAGTGAGCTCTCCATTGCTGGAGGCATGCAAGCAGTGGCGGGTGACCCCATGAGGGTGGAGTCAGGCAGAGTGCACAGAGCCTGAGCACCAGGCATCTCCCCCACTGCCCGCAGGCCACTTCCCCAACAAGCCACTGCCATCAGCAGGCATCGTGCCCTGGCTCCAGGGCCTCATCTGTAACGTGAACAACACCTGCTTCCCTCAGCTGACACGAGGCGAGGAGCCTGGGCAACTGAGCAACTTCAACGACTCCCTGTGAGCCAGAGGCAGAGGGTGCAGCCAGCCTGAAAACTCGGGGCTGCAGCGCCGGCTGGAACCCCACCTCCTGCCCTCTCTGTCCCCAGGGTCTCCCGGCTGCTAGCCGATGCCCTCACTGTGCTGAGGGGGCCCAGTGTCCACAGGACGCTGGCTGGCCTGGGGAAGCTGATCTCCACGCTGAGGGCTGCACAGATCACAGGTGAGGAGGCTGGGGGCCTCTGGCAGGGTTGAGCTCTGAGCCTCGACTTGCCCAGCTGTGAAATGGGCACAAGGTGGGGGTGGTGCCTCAGGACAAGGTCCGCCCAGCCCCACGCTCCCGTGTGCCTCTCCCCCAGCCCCGCCTCAACCAAGCAAGCAGCCTCCACTGGAACCACCTGTGCAGAACCCTGCAGAGCTGCTGATGTCGCTACTGCGTACGGTAGGGTGGTGGGGCGGGACCTCGCTGAC